TGGTGTACAACATTGTGAATGTCGTTAATGCCATTAAATTATAAAATTAATTATTAAAATGGCAAATTCTGTGCCATATATAATGTACCACAATTTTTGGAAAGCTAAAAAAAGAAATAACAAACCTGGTTATATTCCAGATCTGTCCTGTTCTGGTTGAGTGACCTTGGGCAGGTCACCAAACTCTGGGGAGCATTGCTTCTTCTCTGTAAATGGAGATAGGATTGTCCAGGGTACAGCCTCAGTGTGACACCCAAGTGAGACCACATATGTGATACAGAAAAGTCCTTTATAGACTGCAAGTGCTTCTGTCAATATAAACTATTATTACTCTGTGATTCTGCTTGGCTGCTATAAGTGAGCACATAATTCATACTCCAAGTGATCAGCAGATACGTGGAAGTCCCTTATCCATAGGGCCAGGCAGATAGATTCCTTAGATGAGCCCCACATTCTTTCTGCAGTTTCCCTGAGCTGACTCATGGCCATTATTAGGTTCTATATCAGAGCCCATTTGTAGTGGCACTTACATGCTATGAAGGAGAAGCTACCTACAGGTGATTTTTAGGACTAAGATTATCCTTTGTAGAGGAGGTTAAAGCCACGTGCCCAGACATAAGGGACCTAACCATTCCAGAGTACCTCCTCTGTGCCAGGCTCTGTGCTAGACAATCAACGTGCATTTCATCCTCCAATGCTCACCTCACGGCTGACAGGATTTCTAGCTTCATTTCACAGATAAGGAAACTGGCTCTCAGATGAGTTAAGGAAGCTTCACAGAGTCCTATGGTTACTAAGTGGATAACAGTGAGAAAGAACAGCAGCCTGAGAGCCAAGAGCCTCCGGCCCTCACAGCTGGGCTTTGGTGTTCTGTTGAATATGAACTAGTTCACTGAACAACAACATCAGAGGGGTCAAGACAAGTCAAGACCACCCAACAGACATGGACAAACAGACAAAACATGAACATTTTCCACATTATAAAAACAATCAAGCATTCTTCTCTCCTGCATTTAACCTTGCTCCATTCTTTCTGCCCTCAAAATAAGATTTATTAAAATAATCATACCCCTGCTTCCTGAGGACATCCACCTTACTTTCTTTACCCTCTCTGAATTATCTAACATAAGCCCAATGCTGTAATAAGCCCCTCCTAAAGCTCTGCTACACAGAGGCCCTTGCTCCTTCCACTGCAATGAGTAATAAGAAACCCAACATAACATCTTCAACTGCAAGTGTGTCCCTGGTGGACTTTGGCTGCAGGAGATCAACAGGTTTCAAATCTGTGTGCTTTCATTCTTTCACTGCACCACCCAGAAAAGAGGGTATTCAATTTAAGTCAAAGCTTGGGGGGTCGATTTTGTGTTTATTTGCACTACTTTTGTTATCCTCTAGAAATGAAGACAGTAATACGTCAAGCATGGGTGATCTTAAAAGTCCATGTGTATTTGGCAACTCCCAATAAGAGAAAAACCCCTCATTCATTCACTCACATCCTCATTCTCCATATTGTTGGCAGGTGTGCCTCCCATGCTCTGAGCTCTTGCTCAGCATTTGGGATACTGACGTGAAAGGTGTAGTAGAGCTCACTATGTAGAAGGTATTAGGAGATGTTAATCGCAGTTTAGACAGAGGTCTATGGGCACTACAGAGTCTGGGAAGCCATTATATTAGAGCTGGTTCTGAAAGTATGAACTTCTAAGTGCAAGACAAAGAGCAACCCCAAAAGCAGAAGTTACCACCAGAGCAGAGGCTCAGAGATGGGAAAGTCCTGTCTTGCTGGGTAGACAAGAAGTACCATATGGAAGGTGGAGCATAGGAGAGAGAGAGGAGGTAGACGAAGCTGGATGGACAGGTGATGCCATGTTGGAAAGGCCTCTAGTGCCATCCTGAGGGGTTTGCATTATCCCTAGACAAGGAGTCTGGAGGGTTGTTCCAAGCAGGAGACTGGCATGACAAAATTCTTTTCAGAAAGAACATTCTGGCAAAGGCATCAAAAAATAAAAATTTAAATTAAAAAAAAAACCTTTATAAAAAGCCTAATATACATGATCTGAAAGCTGACTTTTGATTCTTGGACTAGAAAGGGCATTTATTACCTCTAACAGACTACAAGACTAATTGGTCTTGTGTGCCCAGCAAAGGAGTTTTGACCTTACCTGATGGGCAGTGGGGAGCCTTTGAAGAATTTGAAGGACAAAGGTGTGGTCGAATCTTCCCAGAGAAAACAAAACAAAACAAACAGTGTGCTGTGTTAATATGTGATTCCATTTAGACATTTTGGAATATCAAAAGTAGCCTCAAGACCCCATTGTGACCTTGCCAGAAGTCAGGTCAGAAATTTCTGGATCAAATGATTTCCAAGCTCCCCTCCAGCTCTGACAGTCTAAATTTCAACAACGAGGAAGGTAAAAGCTATCGCCAAAGCAGACAATGCATCACAGTGTCAGGCTTTGGGATGATCTGCTGCTTGGGGGTTTCCACACCACCGCTCCCCTTCATTAGTGGGGATAATTGAGAGTTGACTGCACTCGTTACTGCTGTTGTGATGGGTATTTGAAGCTAAATTCCAGCAAGCAAGGGATGTGTGAATATTTATCTCAGCTGCAGAAAGTTAATGCAGTGTGGCATTAATTACCCTGTCTGAGCCTGCTGTCTTCTTCTGTTTTTAGGTGTCATTCTCAGTTGAATAAATTAGTTCCAAAATTAGAATAGAGCACATTGTAGGGTGAGATCAAGGCAGCCTGACTTCTGAAGGCATCCAAAAAGAAGAGTGAGCTGAGAAAGTCTACCCAGCGAAGGTTAAGATGCATCCTTGTAGCCCAGCATAAGACAAGGAAAATGGCTTTTCCTAGTACTTGTACTTTGTAACTCCACCTTGGCTTCACCCACCCTACCTCAGAAGACAAACACACAGGAAATTTGCAAGTTTAACTTTACAACAGGTATTTGAAATACTTCAATACATTGGCAAAAAAAATAAACTAGGTGCTTATAGGTTTGCTGGATTGGATTTGAGAGGATTAAAGCGAAATTGGAGTGTTTTGAGGACAAAGGGGCCAGAACAGCAAAGAATGTAGAAACTGTATCATATTCATTAATTCAACAAACCTTTATTGAGCACATACTGCACTAGGTTCCCATGTAAACCGGCAGAGGGAACTGGCAAGCCATAACCAGAAGCAGGATGTGGGAGAATAGGCTTCCAGCCTTTCTGTCATTGGACAGTTGGAAGAAGAACTACATGTTTTCATTATGTTTAAAGGGCAGTATGAAGTCCACAGGTGGAAAGCATGAAGGGTCAAATAGGCACTGTTATATCACAAAACAGGGTGCCTGAAAGGGTAAAGGGGTCTTTCTGCCTGGAAGAATACACACATAATGAGTTCTAGAAGAAAGCATCCTGAATCGTATTCATGGCAAGGTTACTAAATAACCTTGGGACTTTGGTGAAATAAGCCCTCTCTTCTCTGAGCTTCAAATTGCTCATCTGTAAAATGAAGGATCTGGACAAAATTATCTTCTAGTCCATTTCAACTTTACAATAAAGATGAGCAACATGATAAATTAAGTGCATGGAAGGCAGCACAATGACCTTGAGATCACACACGTCTCTGACCTTCAGTTTCTATCTGCAGACTGAGGATGGAAAGAATAAGAGCTATTCCTATGACTCTTAGGCAGATAAAATAAGACCTAAGGGAGCTTTATAAACTCCAAAGCACTCTACAACACTATAGCTTAAAGAGCTGGCCTTTTTTTTGTCAGCAGTTATAATAGACTAGAAAAAGCACTGGATTCTACTTTTAGGTCTCATGTCCCAAACTTACTAACTGTGAGTATGGGCAAATCACTTAATTCCTCTGTGCTTGATTCTCATTTGCAAGTGAGATAAAATACCTGCTCTACATGGCCACCATGATCATTAAAAATGTCAGTGTACTTGAAAATTGTGTGCTAGACACATAGTAGGGGCTCGCAGAATGCCATTTCAATCTGATGGTTCAAGAAAATAAGCATATAAAAAGGATCTATACTCACATAGCAGGAGGCAGGCTAATATATAAAATGTAGCAGAGTTAAGATGTCACTATGTACACTTAATTCTGGCACACACATCCAAGGATGACAGCATAAAGATCAATTTTAATGGAAGGGCCTATATATGCTTAAGACCAGAGTGTTGGTCTAATCGGCTTGGCCAGTGCATCCTAGGCCTTTTTGACATGAAATCCTGAAGCGCTTTCAAGAAGGCCAAATGCCATTTACCATCTACATTTGGATGGAAAGTTTGCTATGTCATATATTGGTGAAAATCCTGTGTGTGTATATCTCAGAACAGTCCATGGGTGCAGGCAAAGGACTGGCCAAACCTGCAACAGCAGATTGAATGGAAAACAAGTCCCAGAAACTTTTCACTAACAGCTAATGGCACATTGGCTGTAAAATGTGTCCAGTCTTCTCTGCTTGAAGAAACCAAAAAACAGGTGAAAATAGCATTTCAGCCATATCAAGTGGACATTCATAAAACTGTGTTGAAAAAATCTCCATTTGACTCATGATGGTTGTTACCATTTTCTGAAGACCTGTCACTACCAAACACTGCTAGATGCTTTATATATATTATCTCTAATCCCCTCAAGAAAGCTGTAAGATCAACAGTATTATTCCCATTTCATGGTTGGGGAACCGAGTCTCAGAAAAGATAAGTATCTTGCCCATATCACACAGCTTGTCTGGCTCTCTTTACTATACCATGCTATTTCCCTAACAGGGGCAATCAGTCTCACTTGAGAACCAAGGACAAAACTGGGTGAGTAGTTCTTGATGATAAAAAATTGCCAAAATGGTATGTACCATGATCAAATAATCCAAAAATCACCTCAGGTCATCCATCATTTACTGTCACCTTTCTGTTAATCCCAAACTCTCCTTCCCAAGCTGTCTCAGAAATTCCCATCTGGAAAAGAGTGGGTCTCACTTTGTCCCTCTATTCATAGGAGCTGGAGCCTCTCTATGCGCAGATCAACAGACCTAAGAAATAGCATCAATGTGGGCTCGTGGCGGATGCTTCAAGACTGGCATGGAAATCAGCATCGCGACAGGCTCTCTTGTATTCTTTCACCTCACTTTATCCCATGAAGAAATTCATGATTGCCCAATGGAACTCATTTTGAAGAGGGAACTAAGAGTTTTTGGCAACCAACAGCAGATATCTATGGCAGCACAAAAACAAAACAAAACAAAACAAAACAAAAAACATGCAAAAGTGTAACAAAATCATACCCAACATTAAATCACAAATCAAGCAAATGCTTACCCGACAAATATTCAGACCTCACTTAGTGTGGGTTGAAGATGACCCAGAATGCAAAATCATAATTCTCTTTTTATTTCTCTACCTGTTGCCCACTGTAGAGATATCAAATTTGGAGTGACAGGCCTCAGAGAGGTACAGTAAGGTTGAGACTGACTTTTTTTAGGCAAAGCAGGAGGTCCTCTGTGACCACAATCTCATTATCCATGGGCCTTTTGACATAGGATGATGTTTTTTCATCACTCAATAGGGCCTTGTCTGCCATTTTTTTCCCATTCCTTCCATTGTCATGTTTGAAAATTAATGGGTGTACAAATTTTTGTATTGCGTTTGACTTTTTAAAGATATTGATGAAGAAATCTAACTGGAAAAAAGTCTCATATGTAATGCATTAACATGAAGTCACAAGACAAATAAGTGGTTGATTATTCTTTATGATCAAGAATGTGGCCAAAACAACCCTTTAGCTATTTCTGCATCCTGGTGAAGAAAGACAGCTTTCGTTTTGAACCTTCATTTTGTGAGTAGGAAAGGACATCAAATCCCATTGATGAAAAAGATGAAAAAACACATCTGATTTCCTAAGAAGCTCTAAATTCTAAGTACAATAAAATGATATTTTTTATTTTTTCCGATATCTTGCTGCTGTGATGCTATGCAGACAAGTGTCTTCTCCACGTGCCATTTTCAAAGAAAAGTCATTTGCCAAATAATTCTGGTACAATCCTGGTAATGTGGTTTTGGATCTTAAAAACTGACTTTCTAATGGAACAATGATGATATGAATATACAGAATAACAAACTGATTCTGTGGTCACAGTGGTTCATCTCTATCTCTTTTTGTACATCAGAAAATTCAAATGGGATTTTTATTTTATAACTTGAAAAAAACCTTACCATTATACTCTTTAAATATTTAAGGGAAATGGCTTTAAGGAGTTCTAATGAAAAAAAATTGCCAGTTTTTTTTTTTTTTTTGTAAATATAAATGTTGATGAAAATGCTTTTTAATAATGCCATTACACTGTAGAGAAGGTAGCAGATTGAGTGCAGGATGTGATGAACTTGATGGATGGAGCTTGCTTTCCAGATGTTATTCTGGAGCACACAGGAGGAAGCTGGAGTTCAGGGACAGCTGGCGGCAGCAGTTGGCCAATCAGCAGCTAGTGAACAGAAAGGGAGCATGTGACTCCATCATCCAATCTAGCCTTTCCACAAGAGTACCCACCCTCTGCATCAAACAAGAAAAAGGCAATTCACATTTTGAAGGTCTGTCCTTCAGATTCTAAACCTCCCTCTGACCTCTACAGTCCCACCTACCCCCATAGAAGTCACTGGACTGTTCATACATGAAACAGAAGAATTTAAGCTTCCTTTTTTTACATTTATGAGACAAAAAGTGCAGTGTTTGGTTCGTATGTTTAGCACATGATTTTCATAAAGAATCTATATATTTTTGCCCTACAGAGAATTGTTCTACAGGTCAAATGTGTTTTCCTGATGTTCCTATGCAGTTACAGTATGTTGAATTTAGTGGTTTAACACTAAAAAGAAAACTTTGAATTTGAGGGTGATTACTATTACTTGGTTTTAAAATTTGAAAATTAGAATTTGCATTGATATGATTAACTTAAATAGGCCTGTGTACTTTGGTTCTTCATATCAGCAGAAACTAAAATGATTTGGAAGATATACTTGCTCACAAAGAGAAAATTGATAAGTCCAAATTTTACGTTGTCAAGTCACTGGAATCTAACTTTTTCCCAGTTAGGGAAACTGACCAAATGTCCATTACAGAATATATGTAAATGTCACGCTAATGCAGAAGGTCTCAAGAACCCGGAAAGCAAGCAGAGCCATTTACCTCCCTCTGTAGCTATCACCTGTTGGTCCCCATGATTTGTCCAGGAATGTGCATACATTGTATGATTAGGTAATCTTTTCACATGAAGGGGGACGTGGGAAAGGTGTGCTAACCTTAAGAGTTGTCCTGAAACCAGGTTGATGGTGTTTTCTGGGGATTTGGTGAGATAGGCAGTTCCCATGAAGAAACGGCTGAAATGACAATGTTGTCCATGACTCTGATTCTAAACAAGTGGTGCTATCTTCTCCCTCAATGTGGCTGTCATGAGTGTGTCTGACAGTATCATGCCATAATACTGATTTTTGGGGTTGCTTCTGACACATTCAGAATGAACTCTGGTGGATGTGGCTGTATCAGGTAAGCCGTCTAGAGCTAATTTCATAACAGAAGGTGACGACAGCCCAGTGGACTTAACCGTTCATTGAATGTGATTAAAAATGTAACTGGCCCCGAACTTAAAGAAGATGGCTCATGTGATACATTCAGTGAGGGAAACAGAGTCAAGATTTTAAACTGCCATCCATGTTATCATTGGCAGAATTTTGATTTTTAACGAACACTGATGAGCTCAGAACCACTGTATCCTATCCCAGGAGTATAGTGAAATTTCCAAATAAGAGCTGAGGTGCCAATATTAAAAGGCCATGGGGAGTCTGCACAGTTCCAGTTAGATTGACAGAAAATCCATGTGTACAGCTGTTAATTTCTCATCCTTCACTAGCACTAAATTTGTCACTTTAAATTTTGAAACCAGGGAAATGCCACCTATCATTCTGTCCCCATTCCCCATAGCTCTTCAATCTTTACATGCCGCAAGATGTTTTGGATAATTCGTACTCATCCCAGTGTTGGCTGAAACCCCATCATGTCATGTACCGGGCACCTTCTTTAAAAAAAAGAAAAAAATGTTTACTCTGTGGGTTTGGTTCATTTCAATTTCTGTGTTCTGACACATATTTTTTTAATAAAGATGAGAAAGAGAAAATGACTGTTGCAGTACATTTCTAGACCTACTTTAACTTTACCTCAGATGACAGTTTGTTAACATATATGGACACATTATTTTTAACTTTATGTACAATGCATTCAACAGAACAGCAAAATTTTTAGAAATTTTCCATTAATTTCTGTAACACACCATGTAAAACTTACAAATAAACATGTTTGAGAACAACAGCTGAGCCTGGTTTTATTCCACAAGTTTCTGTTGGATATTCACACTGCTTGGAAGAGGAAATTGCTTCTTATCTAAGCTTCTGTCTGACCAGGTGAAGGCCTGTTTTCCTGGCAGTAGGCCAGGAAGAGACAGCTTCTGTCAAGAGTTGAATCAGTTCATCTTCAGTTGAATTCAGGTACTTGATACGCTTGGAAAATCAGCCACGGCAAAGAATGAGGAAGATGTTGTCAGGAAAAGCACACACTTTGTAGATGTGTGGTATTTGGACCACATTTAGCATGAGACTTTCAAAGTTGGAAAGGACCCAAGGACTAACCCTATGGATTTATGAATTTTCCTTAAAGGAAAAAAAAAAACACAACTGCTAAACTGTTGGTTGTTAAATCAAGGTTAATCTAGACCCTCAAAGAGATCATCTTAGCTCATTTCTAAGTCAGTTGCTTTAAGGGACCCAAAGAAGGAAGCATTTATTTTCCTTCACATTCCCCAGCCACTCTATACCAAAAAACATAAAACAAAAAGAAGTCTACAGCTGGACCTTGATTTTTATACGTATTGAAGAACAGAAAAATATGTATATATGTTTATGTATGTATATATTTATGAGTGTATGTATATGTATGTATGTGTGTATGTGTGTCATTTTCATTTCCTCTTGCTACTAAATCAGTTAGTCTAGCCAATAATCAGCCAGAGTACAGATTACAATTAGGTCATTGAGATGCCAGAAAACACCTCTGTTGAGGAATGGTTATATTAATGGTTGCATAAACACATGCCCGCAATCTGGCCTAGTTACACAGAAAATATTAAACAGATGTTATCACCAACTTTGCAAAAATGAGAAAACAGGCTTAGATTCCAGCAAAATAAGTGTGAGGCAACTTTCATACAGTAAGAAATGCTCACTCCTGGATCAAATTGCTAAAAAATGTTCTACAAGCTCTTCTGAATGACAACAGTGGCTCACACTTGAGCAACGAATATGTGCCTGGTAGGTGCTAGACAACATGAACCAGAGAGATCCTATCCCCAATTTATAAAGAAATTGAGACTCAGAGAGATGGAATGAATGACTTGGTGGAGTTGAGATTTGAATTTAGAGTTCTTACTCATAGTTGATTTTTATTTTAAAAAATAGTTGGATATTCACTCTTATATAGTTAAATAGTTCTATATAGGCTTGTTAAAAAGCATTAACCTTCTATGCCTCTTCCCAGACCTGTTGTTGCACTTGGTAATAAGTTAGAGGTCTAAGTTCCTTCAGTTCTGAGGGGGAAAAAAATCTATTAGATGTTACTATCTTAAATATGTCACTGAATACATAGTTTCACCTTTAATCAGCACTTTTGAAAGGATGTATGTCTGAGGGGTAAAGAATACACCTTTTTTGCCCAACGAGTTCGAGTTTAGCAGAAAGCAAGCACTGGTGGTTTACTTTTGCAACCTAAGTGAATCTTAAAGAAGTGACAAATTAAAAGGTGTCCTATTTAACTGGTAATCGGGTGCCAAAATAAATCAGGCAGACATTTCTGCTTTCATTTTGTGCTTGAGAGCATACCCTTGTTGTTTTGACAGTAAATGTTTTTTTGTTTTACTCAGAATGACAGTAGGAAAAACGCCTAGAATAAAAACAGGTTTCGTTGAAATCAACCTTCAAAGCTTTGAAAGCTTTTAAAAGATGTTTAAATTCAAGGGTAATGTGAGCAATGGTGCCTGAAAGATTTTTTTTAAAAAGGATGTAAATGACTTTCAAGCCTTTTGATGACCAGTTCTCAGTATTTATGTTGAAATATGAATAACAGCTCCTATCTGTAGGCACCACCCTTTTTCTAACTATTAATTATAAATACTTACACAAACCCTGGAAGCAAAGAAGTATGCCCTCCATTTTACAGCTGAGGAAACTGAAAGTCAGAGATGTTAGGAAACAACTCAGTCGACAGAGCCCAGAGGCTGGCACCATTCCCAGGGTCTGATTCCCAGGTCTCTCCTCCACTCCGTGGTTGCTTCTGTCTGCAGGGTTTCTGTGATGTCAAATTGCTCATGCACCTTCTGTAAAACAGTTTGAGTCCTCCGGTATTCAATTTCAAGTAGTGTCTATTATATTAGAAAAATCACACCATGCATTACCCTGACTGGTTAGTATAGAAACTGATTCCTAAATGAAATGACTGCAGGTATTTTTAAAACAAAGGAAAAATCCAGTTTTCTTCTCAGGAACAGTAACAGCTCTAACCCAGTCTAATGAATATTTAATGTCAAAACAAAATCCTTGCATTCACTTTATCTTCCAAAGTATGGAGATCTGAAAAGGGAACCTTTTTTTGAACAGGCTCTCTGTTCATCCTTTGCAGAAGAATATGAAAGATTGCCTAGTGGAAAATGTCTAAATATTCTTGCAAGACAGCAGCCTCTGGTGACTTGAGTCTTTAATCTTCTGAACAACCTCTTGCTACTTCTATTGCTCATGCTGGGGTCGCAGCCTGAAGTGGGAAACAAGCAGGACCAGTTGGGTATGGAATAAGCAGCAATCGAGGCTGGCATACTGTCAACAGGAAAATGCTAACCTGCCCTTCAGACTGTACTTCAGCAACCCTACCGTGCCTTCCCTTTAGGGGTGGGGGGAACCCTGAAGTTGGTCTTATTTCAGATTATAGGTCAGAGTCACCTGTAGCTCATGGCCATGAGCTCATTATTAAAGGAAAGTTGTTCCCTCTTACCTGCCCTGTGCCCACTCAGACCTCCACAGGAATAAAAAAAAGGGGGGACCCACAATCACACAGCCAAGGTTTGTCCTTTCAGGATGAATCAAAGTAAACTAAACAGCATAAACTGAAAACAAAGGAAAACTTACTCAATGATTAACCCAGTTTTATCAGAAGAGAGATGCAAAAGTCAAGCAGGTAGATAGCTATTCAATCGTTTTCTTTTTATCGTGCACTAAACTTAGAGCCTAGGAAGTAGAGTATTTGACCAAATCTTCACTCTTTGCCTATTATTTGTCGCTTTTCTCACATAAGTGGAGCAGACTATCTTTACAGACAAGTCAATATGAAGTCACTTCCAGATGATGAACTCAATTCAGAAAGTGTTAGTTTCCATGATTTGCCAGTTGTTTGACCTCAGACAAGGCACTTAAGCTTGCTAACATTCAGTTCACTCACATGTAAAATTGAGACAATACTATCTACCTCATAGGGCTATTATGAGAAATAAATTTGATAATTCCATATCTAGAATGTAGTAAATTCTCAATATCTGACCTATCATTAATTTCAAAGAAAGTCTGGTAGCTATGTGTTTTTGTACATAACTCTTTCACCGTATACTCTATGCTTTTACATCTATTATCCCTGCACAGTGGCTCTACCAAGTGTGCAGAATGTGAGTGAGTGATTGTTATCTGTATTTTATTGTCAAAGAAAGGCAAAGAAGCATACACATACCTCTTTGAAATGTTTTCACTGGCAAAGTTTAAAGCAAAACTGTATTATGTTTGTGTAACAAAAGAGTTATGAA